GGTACTGCGCCAACATACTTTGCGCATTCCGAGCATGTCGCTGTAATTTATGCGCATATTGCGCTGATGTGTCTCGCATGGATCTTCATGCTACCAATAGGTTCGCGGCTCGCTCCACCCGCTCCAGTCAAAGTAACTCGCTGACCAGAACTTTCCAGCCGTCATGCTTTCGATTGCTCGCTCGCGATATACACTTGCCGTCCAGTTCCTGTTCCTCCTGACGAACGCGATTGGTGTTTTTATCGGCATTGGCTACAACACCAACACCCCAGATCTCTACCCGAATAACGCCCACCACAAGCTAGGATGGATTGTCACCTGGATCGTCAGCGCTCAAGTTTTCGTTGGCCTTGTGAGCCGAGTCGCTGGCTTCATGAACAAAGCGTCAGTCCGGTCCAATAACAAGGAAGAGGAGCAGGCATTCATTCCCATCTCGACTGAAGCAATGGCTGAGCATCATCGCGCTCATCAAAATGTCTTCTCCCCCCTTTACCGGCCGTCAAATGATAGTGGCCAGGGCACGGAACGCAACACGGAGTCGTTACGCAGTAACTCGATATCGACAGTGGTCGGACAGGAATCGCCAATGGAGCCGGAGGACAGACGAGTACATTATCATGACGAAGATGATGAAGACCCGGCAGTCAAGGTTTTCAACAGGTCTGGGTCATGGGCCCTTACTGCACCGCAGTCGCTGCTGGTTAGATTGGTTGAAAAGGTATCCGGAGGCACATGGAGACTAGTCATGTTCTTCTACCACATCGTTGACAGAACCATACTCATTTTAGGTTATGTTGCTCTTTGCACAGGCCTCATAACCTACGCCCGCTTCTTTGTAAGTGGATGAAACGTGCTATGATCAGGAGTCGCAACCACTGATTCCATAACAGGAGGGCCACGAAATCTTCAGCGGGCTGGCACATTGGATAAAAGGCGGTATCTTCTTCTGGCTGGGAATCTTAACCCTAGGCCGATGGTCCGGCAGCTTCGGAGAGCTTGGTTGGGTGAGTGGCGGGTTACCGGGACGCTCTAAGAACCCTACTTATAGTGCATCATTAGGCATGGAATGTTCGCCCGAAACAGACCTCGCACAAATGGCGACCCAGTGCAGAGTTTGTTGAGGGTGCCCTTATCTTCACCTATGGAGCTACCAATATCTTCCTTGAACGTCTCGGCAGCACTGAGGATAGTTTCAGCTCAGAAGAGCTCGAACACATGTCCATCACGGTGCTATTCATTGGGGGCGGTCTGGTAGGCTCTGTCTGCCCTGATCATTGTTGCGTACTTCTCGAGTGCTGATGAAGGGTTGTCTAGTTGGCTATGCTTATCGAGTCTACTCGCATTCGGGAAATGCTGAATACGACCATAACGGATGCAACGCTATTGTCACCTGAATACACGTACAGCGAGGAAGAACGCGCGGCACTTCAGTCCCCGGAGACTTACGAATTCTCCATCAATCCGATACCAGCACTCGTAATCCTGTTGTTAGGTATCATGATGAGTTCTCATACACAGGAGTCCATGTTCTCAAGCATGATCCATAAGCAGTGGGGCAATTTGCTCACAGGTGCTTCTTTTGCCCGAGCTTTTACCTACGTGCTCTTGTACCTAAAGCCACCGACTTCTGTGTTACCCTCCCGACCTCCCACGGAGCTGTTGGCATCATTTGGTTTGATCTCTGGGGGCACTATCTTCATGGCAAGCGTGAGTTGGCAGTTGGCTCTCCACGGCAAAGCGGCTACTTGACTAACTCGGAAGACAGAGTTCGGATACGGTGACTGGCATGATCCACTACAATCTCGATGCCATGTTCTTTTACACTGTAACCATGGGTATGGTCGCCCTTCTAATGGCCTGGATTGTCCTGGTTCTCGCTCTGAAAGGCTGGGCCGTCCGCAGAGAATCAGGGTTGAATCAGAACGTTAGAGCCATTGGATCGAGGAACTGAAATCCCGACGAAGTCCCCGCTAGTGTCACTGGACCCGGTATGGAAGTGTGAAACGCCCGAGGTATTCAACGAGCAAAATTAAGCATGCGCATTGCGGACTCGGATTGGTGTTGGCAGGAACTTGACCACCGGCTTAGTCTACTCTGCCCTTTGGTGCATCTGTCTGGCGTTGCATGACCGAGCTGGGCTTTGCAAAGCCTGCTCGGTGTTAGAATTTCTTACTCTCGTTTACCCTCTCATGATACCCCTGCGAAGAACGGCTCTGTCACTATTATATGGCTTGGGAAGCATTCGACTACCTCGAGTATGGCGAAAAGTGGGATGAAAGACATTAACATACTGGACGCTATTGAATACGAGTATATACAACGACATCGGGAAGGGTTGGAACTGGTTATGGATTATACCCTTTATGACGATAGATGTAATGAGAAAATGGAGCACTCTTAATACAGCCCTGCTACGGGGTGCAACTCTAAACAAATTTCAATGCATCAACTCTTACGAATTTTGGCCTGACCTCGAGTCTACAGTCATTTTCTAAATGGTATCGCAAAATTGATCACTTATCTAGGTACTTTGATCTTGTTGATTGTCTCGGAGTGGCGTTCGATTAATTCGTAGCTTTGACAACGTCTTTTTCCGTGGCTTAGATATACGACTCGGTAAAAGTTCATGGACTGCATCTGGGTATATAATGCATAACTCCCCACCGTGAAGAGCTGTCTCTGCGGTGCCATTTAACTCACAATTCACCTCGTCTGTTAGAGTGCCTACCTAGGTTATCAACACGGCCAGTAAGAAGACACGAAGCCGTAGTGAATAGCTAGCTCGGTAGTCACCGGGCAGGTAATAAAGCAGCCGATTTGCAGGTTACAACAATACTCACGGCCAGGCTGACAGCTGACGCAGTGGGGAATATTGCAGGCCGGGGAAGATGTGCTGCTGCATATATTATGGTTCTCCGGCCGCTGGCCAACGGTAGTATTCGAACACTTCACGTCATTGCCGGTTCCGTAGCTCCACGACACTTTCACATTTAGCTGCAAATATTTGGAGGCAGACGTTGGAGAATGGCACGGCATTTCAGATAAGGATCTGTTCGATATATAGGTACATAATCACACTCCTTGCGTTGTGGACTAGTTTAGCCCATCGCCACTACTACCTCCGGATGAGGTGGCTCAGTAGTAACACTTACAGACCGACAAAGAAACTGTCAATAACAATATCCCACAGCTGGAGGATCTGCTGGTTGATAACAGGCCAGCCCAAAATGTCAATGCCATCGGAGTTCTTCATCTACCAACGCCAACATGTGTAGCTCGTCGACATGATTAGTCACCAACTCTGCTCCCAGTTTGAATATCTGTCGAATCACAACGCTTGTCGTATGGAACCAGTAACAAATTACGAAATATATTGAATACACACACCACAGCATCCGTTATGACGCCGTGGTCATAATTCCATCAGCAGGTTACCGCAACATCCGGCCTCGCCGAGGCTGACTATCCATGTGTATACCAAAGTCTTTCCATGATACCACCGAGCTACCTTGTCTCCAAGCTTTCCATAAAGCCAGGCTTCAAATCTTAGGTGCTGGCTCGGCCTTCCCTCCGCTCTTTCGCCAATTTGGACACAAGTGACCACTTCGAGACGAAACTAGCTTTTGACTTATCATCGCTAACACACATCGGACAGCTGATCACATGGAATATTTCCCCATTTCGGTCCTTCAATTTCTGACTGAAGCATTTGTTACTCTGCAACCACCACCGACATCTGCACTGGACATCGTGCGACCCGAACTAACTCCCTACATTAGGCTCCGTTACTGGGCTCCACGGCCGCCTACCCTATCAGGCCACGAGTTGGTGTCTTACGTGCCGTCTGGGGCCTGCTTGGTATCTCCCAAGGCATACGAAGAAGGGTGTTCTCATGAAGCCCAAACCCAATGGCGAGGAAACAGGATCTAAGGAATTGAACGACGACTCGGGAGACCGCCAATATACATTCTCCCAACAGCCAAACCCGGAACCCGACCTCTGCTCACCTATCCCAGTCGCCCATACCACTCGCTAAGGGCCCAAGGAAGGGTGAGCGCATATTTGAGCGCGATAAGACAGATCCTGGTTTCCAGCAAGACGATTGGGGTTGGTGAATAGCCTTGCGTCCGTTTGCCCAAAACCACCTTGGGCGGCGACAGTCACCGTGGAGAGTGACCATCTGTTTTTCCGACTCGCCTGACGAAATCTGATGATCGGAGTGACGACCCGGCGGTCCGTCAATATGATTTCAATAACCAGGACCGAAAAGAGTAAGGAAATTGGGATGGTTAAAAAAAAGGTAAGGCTTAAACGTATATAGAAGCAAAGCTACTTGGATAGTGGGTGTGACCAAGGCTATTACCTCCCGTATCAACCAACACCCATACATCATCAGTCTCGATATGCTTCCGGCTAGTTCTGTGCCGGCAAAATTGTGGCTTAGATCATGCCACTCGATCAAATTGACAGAAACGACTGTGCATTGCCCGAAGGCGATTGTATGGTTCCTTTCGACAAAGCATACACATGTTACCTACTACCAGGTTAAGCTGGTCAGGTTCAGATGGTATCGGGTGTTTGAGTCAGGGCCGCCCTCTCCTCAGTTCTGTACGTAGACTTATGCTAGAGGCACGCACCTTGTCGCCGACTTTGTACTATGCCTAAGGACAACAACACGCAGGAGCACGCTGTACACGATCGCTAACACCAAACATATATATGGATATCTTCGACCTTATAATTAAGATGGCAAAGCCGCTGTTTCCATCTCCACGTCACATCCATCCCGCTCTTCTCACGGTATTCGAATCACTGTACATTACTTACCACAATGTGGCATTCTTCCTTATAAGTCAACATATGGTCAATGTGCGTCACCGTTCGTAGATCGATGGACTGAACGAGGCATTGAAGGATATGGTTATTTCAAACCCCGTCGGCAACATTGGCGTGTGTACAAAGAGAAAAGGGATTGGATTGAAACGGGCCAAAAATTCAACCGCTGCAAGCACGGTTCGAACGTGCGCTCCCGAAGGAATTCGCTGTCTCTAATCACACGTGATGATTCAAGGCGAACGCGTTAACCACTCCGCCATTGCAGCTGTGTTGAAGCAAGGCCCATTATCATCACATATAGGGTCGGGCAGGCGTGGTGTGCCGCTGTTTAGCCGAAGGACAATCTAGTGTCCCGTCGAGGGGTATGATAGGGTCACACCGCCTCCAACAGACTCCACACGGCGCCACGCTCGAGTCGGGGATAGATGACGCCGTGAATACACGGTTGCCATCTTACCTAATGCCCACTGGGACATAGCCATAGCCATACCTCCCAGCCAACCCTCACCCGGATGCCACCTGCACCAGCTTCACTTGTACAGGATATGGCTATTTCGCGTGGTAATGTAAGAAGTCCTCAATCAGCGGAGAAATTGACAGGAGAATAAGATTATCGTGGCTTGTGTGCTATCGATGCGGACTATCAGAATAGACGCCAGTATAAATCCAAGTGTCGTTATAACACATGGGCTTCCTCATGCTAGAACTCCTCATCTCTCTTCTGGACAAGGATGAAGATGGCTCTACCTGACTTATATCTTGAACTGGGACGCCGCAAAATCGTGTCGAGCACCTATAGAGCATCGCCCCCTGCCCAGCCTGAGAGCAGTTGAACGTACAGATACGATGCATATGTCGGCGCAGTCTCTATACAAGTATCGTCATAGAGCTGCCTGCCTTTCACATTCGTCCTAGCTTCTTATGGATGATGATGATGATGATGATGATGATGATGACGTAGAGTGCGTGCTGTCATCCTCGGCCTCATCAGCTCCACGGGCATCCGCGACCCTCTTCTGCTCGGCTGGTGAGAACATAGAAGTTCCTTGCTGCAGTGACTTGACGAGCATGGGGACTGCATCCCCTTTGAAGTCGCTGGCCTTGCGAATCTTCTCTAGATCCTCGGCAAATTCTTTCGTTGACTGCTGCAAGTAATAAGATCTGCAAACAGAAACGACTCATGTCAGCTGTGATTTCGTCTCTTCTCACAGCGCAGGGACACGAATCCAGCCTGCAACTATAGGCAAATCGGAAGCTGGTTTTGTGACTCACTGTAACAAGTTAGCATGTTGACCTAGCCGCAAGAGCGGATTTGAGAAGTCAACGAGCAGCAGCGAGGCCATAACGCACCGTGAACTCTACTGCTGTCGCATTGGGTTTACTCGCCATTCTGTCGGGGTCTGGATTGCGCGATGCACACGGGCTCGATTTGTTGTGTGTTTCGTTCCGACTTAATGGAGGCTTCGGTCTCTGGATTCGCTGGGTTTTGTTTAGGAGGAAATTGAGTGAACAATGAACATCCAGGGTAACGTAGATGACAGTGGGTGGACCCCACCCTTGACTTTACCACCTTTGACTACCACCTCGCTGACCTCCATGCAAGCCATCTTGAACACATGTTCTTAAGCATGTTTGTTTTCCATGGCGTTTCATGTATCCGCCGTATATTTCACGCAGCGTTGGTCGCACAACAGCCATCACCAGTGGTGGTCATGGCCGAGACGATCAATGCGAATCCCACAGAAAACCCCTACAAGAGACCGGTTCAAACAGCGAAGTGATAACGTCCTATTCATCCTGCATTTGTGTATTTTGTCTAAATGTAGTAACACATTAGATTGACTGGAAAAACAACGCTGCGTGGGTTCATGCAGCCCTCCCTATCCTTGGAATTCCCTTGTACTTTACTCGTCATCTGCGTATCGTCAGACCCCGATCCCAGTTTTCACCCAGCATCCAAAGGGCGGTAAAAGTGGGAGACCAAGAAAGACCCAGACCTCAAGTACGCCTCGTGTATCATTCCCGGGCCACCTCTTTTTGAATGACCGCCTAGGAAATTGGTATCTCGAACAAGTGCCCTACTATGCCACTCTATAAATAACAGAAAAATCCCAACCCAAAGTCGTAAATCAGTACATGTGGCAGACTGGATTCAGATCGAGGTTACAAGAGACACCGTCGTGACGGTCCTCTCTTCGAACAGGCGATGCTGCGCTTCAGAATGGGCTTGTACCAGGAGAGTTACTGCCAAAGGCGAACTACGCTGCCAGCTCGTGTTACTTCGGATCAATTCGTTTCTCTTTCTTCTTCGATAGCCGTCATATCGTTGCAACTAGCACCGCCTGCCAGTAATGGTTTGCTTGGGGGTGGCATGGAAGACAACACCTTGCCGGTCGGAGTTGTTCCTGCACTGCCCATACTCGGCGGTACACTGGAGCCAGTGGATGACCGATTCATGGTAGTGTTGGTGCTGGCCTCGCTCAACTCGCCCGTGGACACCTCTCTGTGTAGGGGCGACGCATGGACGGGTGAGTTGGACTTTTTACTCGTCGAATCGCCACCTCCTCGGGAAGAATTCCGTGGTGAGACCCTGCCCGTCTATTGCTTCATTAATTTCCGCGTGTTCCGATTTAGACACCTTAGTACTTACCTGCTTTGCCCACCTAAGGCCGCAGCTGTTACATAGATCCCTCTGGCCACTTGGACCCCTTCTCCACTCTGGTGTATTACGAGTATGGCAGTTGGCGCAGTCTCGGACAACGTTCCCGACGCCCTTCCTCCGCTTGCGCTTCTTCTTGTTGGAAAGAAGCCCGTGAAGCTCATCGGCTAGGAGACGGTTGACCTTCTCCATCTGACGAAGTTCGTATTGCCAACTCGTGCATCGTGTTGTCTTGAGTTCGTCAAAAATATTGTCGTCGGAAGCGAGAGCTTTGTCTTGGTTCCCTGGAGCCAAGCCTCCCCCAGCGGCGCTCGAAACGACGCCAGGACTCGATTCGCTCGCGATATGACTGCCCTGCATCATGTTGAAGCTAGACGGACCGTTCTGTTCGCTGGAACCAGATCTTGCCGTCAAGGCTGGCGTCATGGATCGAGAGGAAGCTTTCAAGAGTTTCGTCTGCGCTAGTAGGAAGGTCGGTTTTTGTCCCTCAGAGGCGTCGCCTGGGTATAGCGTAGTCTGCGCCTGAAGAACCTGCCCGCGCCGATTTTGCACCTCATGCTTGCAAGCGACTGTTCGCCCCCTGCGTGCTTTCTCGATGGATCGACCGAATTCCGGCCGTGATTCTTTCCGCATTAATTCTTGGATACTCGTTCCTACAAGATTTTCCGGTTGCAAGTCCAGCAGTGAACGAATGTTTGCAGAGACGAATAGAAACATGCCCGAGGTAGACAGTTTTGTCCACAACTCGCCGTCTCCGATCCCACCATGCGCTTCGAGTTGTCGGCGACCGAGGGCGAAGACCGGCCGTTTGCGACCAACCAACACAATACATTTGCGCCCTTTACCCTGCTCCACATAAAGTGAACCGTGGCTCTCGAACCACGTGTACCCGCTCTGTTTTCTTCGGATTCGGAATACAATATTGACGGAGTTGCCCGTGGTCGTATCTTTCAGCTCCCGGGTCACCGGGACGATATCGGAGGGGTGGCAGATTTCGGCGATGGGAGTACCCCCAAGCTCGGCCGAGTCGTACTCTAGGACACGCTTGCAGGATGGTGAGAGGTAGAGGAATAGACCTTTGAGGGACAAGACATGAACCACGTCATCAGCATTCTCCAGCAGCATCTTGTCCCACGACTGGCGGTGCCAGTCCGAGACAGCCCCGGTGGGATTGTACTGTTGCAATAAGGCCGACACATCGTCAACACCCAGTGTCTGGCCGTTCTCAGGCTGCCACTGGCTCGATGGAGGCGGGGTCCAAATGTATTGGCCGATGTCATTGTGCTTGTAGTTCACCTTCATGGTACCAGGGCCATGGGAAGAAGCAATGGCATCGGGACACTCGACCAGGTCGATCTGGAAGCCAATGATATATCTGATCTCAGGGGTATCCCAGGGGATGGGGATCATGGTCAGCAAGTTCAAGAAGGGTTTTCCGCCCTTTCGATAGTTGATCAAGCTCTGTTGTACCTCCTTGCCCTCGGCAATCTTGCATTTCAGGTTGTAAACGGCACCGTTGTCGACAAACTCTCTCTTGGTTCCAGCTTCGACTTTGGCGTCGGGTGCCTGGAGAAAGCGACAGTTCTGACCAGTGATCTCGTGTTTATTATAACCGGTAAGGTTCTGGAAGTTGTCAGAGACATAAATAATGGGGCAGTCATTCATGGTCACGTCGCAGACGACAAAGGCGCAAGACATGTCAACAGCACCCAAGTTGACCTGGGCATTCTTTCTCGTGGCGACCAGCCAAAGTGCCCTCAGCATATCAAAGCCGCTCTTAGAGTAGATGGCTTTCTCGGGTGGAGGCTGCGGACCGATGGAAGGCATAGGCATGCTCTCTGGTGTCGTCCTAGACGTGGCGGTCTGGGGCGATTGGAAGGCAGAAGTCGAAGACGCAAGCGTCTGCTGGGCCTGGTTCGATGACTGAGGGGAGATACTGGATGGATAGCTACTGTTCAGGGCCGTGTCAAGACCGACACTGGGTTGCTGCTGATGGGTCTGGCCTGGCTGAGAGAGCTGTGAGGGGGGCTGCAGCATAGTCGGATCACTGGATCCTGAAGTCATGGCGCCGTTTCCGAGGGGCAAGGAAGACATGGCGTTGGACGGATTCTGCATCGTCATGCCCATGTCGGCCATGGGAGAGAAGTTGCCCGCCATGGCGGAGGGGGGAAACATGGCCATGGAGGCCGGGTCAATGGCCATGGGGTCCATGTTCATGTTGGAGAAGGCGACCATATTGCCCATCATGTCGGGGAGGTTGGAGAAGTCGTCGGCGCTCATAGCCTGTGGGGAGAAGCCGGTGGTGGCGATGGGGGAGAAGTTGGTCGGGGAGGTGGGCACCATGGCGGGCAGGCCGAACTGGAAATCGCGAAAGGCGGCGTCGGTGTCGCCAAACTCCATCATGGACAACCTGCGGTCGGCGTCGGCCTGGGAGGTCGGCGCCGAGTACTGCTGCGGGGGCAGGCTTCTGCGCCTGTGCAGCTCGGCCGAGTTGTTCTGGATAATGTCGTCGAGTGAGTCGGCGCCCATCATTGGAGTGTCGGTGGTGGCTGAGTTGACCTGGGGATAATGTCGCTGCTGCTGGTGCTGCTGGTGCTGCTGGGTGTT